CACTAAAATCAGGCTCCAGTTCCTGTGGGTGTGGAAAGATGGACTGAATTATACCAATTTTAATAACCTTGTGGCTCAGCCTTGAAAACCATTTTGAAACAAATCAGGGATTTTCTTCATTTTTCTGGTGTATGTCAAGCAGAAAAATAGAAATAAATACATAATACATGGGGATATAAAGAGCTTAAATATCATAGAAGCATATACCAGTTTAGGTTGGAAACAACCTATAAGGTCATAGAGTCTAGATGTTAACCTGGTCCTGCCGAGTTCACCACTAAGTGACAGGGAGAGGGACAAGACTGCTGCATGTGACAGAACAGAAAAGAAGTACAGTCACTGTGGGATGCTACATGGTAGATGATGAGGGAAAAATGCATTTTGACTACAACTGAAAAGCAGGGGGGAAGACGGGAAAATGGAAGGGAAAGAATCAAATATGAGAATAGACAGTAAAACGTGAGCACTAGCAGAACTGAGAGGAGTGATAAATGAGTTACTGAGGGGGCAAAAAGGAAGAGAAGAAAATATTTTAATATCAAAAGTGGGAATGTGCACAGCTACCTGGTATAGTCCACAAAAACAGTAAAACCTTATGGTTGGCAAAATGCTGAAATCGGCTATGATGGATCAGCTGTTTCATATGAGCAGAAAAAGTCCTATACATGAGAAGTGGTCATTCTTTTTCTGCCAGTTACAGGATTTTTCTTCCACCTATCTGACATTGGTCCCAGGCAAAAACAAAACTTGAAGAATCAGGCTCAGCATCTGATCTGACACTGTATTTCCTACATTCCTAAGGGAAAAAATCAAGAGAAATAAAATGCACCAAACTGCTTTTATAAACAATCTTCTGTTTTTCACACAGATATACAGGTGAGATTTATTTATCCATTTACATTGTCCGACACATATTTCTACCATCCTTAAGCATTGTTCTGTTTTTATTTAGTATATATAATTCAATGACCTAGAAGTTCCAAGAGAAAAAACACTTTGGGGATATTACTAAGCAGCCTCTTGGCATTTCTGGGCATTGTTTCAGTTTGTACCTGTGACAATGTATCTGTTAATACTTTCCTTAGTCGGAAAGTCTCTGTCTTGGTAATAAATTCTGAAAATTACCAAGTTAGGTTTAAAATACATCTCTTCAATATATTACATTTTTAAGAGGCACTATTATATCTGTTGGAAGTAGTTAAGAAAAATACCTGCATTAGTTGTGTGGTCTCTTAGAATGCTGATATGCTAAGAGCTGATCTTATACTCAAGATGTTGGTGCATAGAGCAGTTAGATATAAAAAGGTCGTTTTTTTATATATTCCTCTTTTTGGAAGGTTTTTTGTCCTTTTCTACTCGGTGATGCTGCTTGTCTTGGATCTTGACATTATTTAACTATTTTTTTTAACAATGCTGCTTTTGGATCTATTTTTGTGAGCTGCTGAGTACCTTCACCTCATTTTCACATCAATAAAAATTGAAAGATTTCATTTCAGTTCGTGCAGTCATTAGTTTCAGAGACTTGTAGCACTGAGTAGAATTTTTAGAGGATGTTGAAAATCATTGTAGAAGTGACTTGTAGAAAATTTTCCTTCAGTAGGATGCAAATCTATACATGTCTAGAAGAAGGCAGATTTTTCTACAGACAGAACTATAATGATGTCGTATCACATTTTTTTTAAATATTCATAATGCTGTAGACTACTCTTAATTCTCATCCCTTTGTTTTTCATTCCAAAAGGGAGAGGAAACTACTGCTCAGCTATACTTAGAAAGAGCTCCTGGGCAGCCTTAGTGTTGTCTGTTTTTAATTTTGGAAAGTAATTTTTTCTATTCTGACTACAAAAACAGTTCATCTGTTATAATATAACTATCAATTCTTATATATGTGTTATATTGCTCAGAGATACTCAGCACTATCTTGGCTTCTGAAATCTTTTGTTTCTGTGTATGTTTTAGTCATTGCGTAAGATATAGCAGCACTGAGGGCGCTATTATGAAAAAGTACAGCCCAGAAAAGACGTGTTAATCATAAACTAATCATATTTGTTCAAAATTCTGATGTGCTACTAAGTGAGGGTAAAAGTCTGTGGAATCTCCCTTGCCTTTAATTGTGCCAGCAGACTCTCAAAGAAATGAAAATTACACCTTCTGAATAATTTTCAGAATAAACAGTATATTGTCAGCAGAGAAAGAGATGACCCAGTACTTAGAGCAAATTTATTTCCATTTGCATAAACCATTGTGTTGGTAGATTTGCAATACAAGCTAGGCATTTTTTCCACTTCAGTTTCAAAATTTGTGTGCAATGTGGAACATGAGAGGTTATTGCAGTGTCATTACTGTAGCAACAGAATGACTTTAAGCACAATTATTCTATGAACCAGATCCAAATTTTTTTTGGTAAATTTCTAAAATGCAAGAAGTTGTAAGAATCAGATTTCATATATTGTATGTACATTCTTTGGAGAATACTGGTATAAAAGTAGTTGCTCAGGAATTCTTCATTGTTTCTAAGTGTATCTAAAAGAAAATGCTTTCAAATACATTTTTTAAGTTCTTAATATTGAAAGTGCTGGCTTTACTAAAATCTGTTGGTGTTTTCACTTGTAAGATCAATATTGTTATGAGGTCTGTAGCTTTCTGATGAATTTTTTGATCTTTTGTCATTGTAAAATCTCTTTGCAATGGTGTTCGCATTTCAGTTTAATAAAAGTTCGTGAATAAAATTCCAAGATTCTGTATTTCTTCATGATGTGCAACATTTCGACTATATAATGTACAGAAAGAAAAAGGAAAATCCAGGCATCCAAGACATTCTGTGGGGCAGGATTCTGCTGTTTTCCATGGAGAAAGCTCAATAATAGATATTTAACCAATTTTGGTGCACTAAGTAATTGAGCAAGGTAACACAGATGACTCACGTGCCTGGTTACAACTTTTATGTTTCTTTATGGCTCTTCATGTTGATTTAAATCATATTTATCATTGAAAATCAGGGACTTGTTTAGCAAAGGTAAAGTTTGATCAAGAAAGATTGAGGGCTGGGAGAGTCCTAAAGTGTGTAGGCACTGCCCTGGTTACTAGAGGGTATTCATCTCTGACACTTTGCACCAATATTGGGCAGTTTTCCTGCAAAACTAGGGCTGCCCCCCCAGCTACCCGGGGTCAGTCTTCTGTCTTAGGAGCAGGCGAGGTCACCAAAAGCAATGTGAAATACCTCTCACTGCCAACTGTGTCTGGTAAAACTGTGTGCCAATTTCCATTTCAGGTGGCAGGTAATGCCACCTTGATCCTTGATTCTTAAGTATTACAAGGATGTTCTGGTTTTGGCTGGGGCAGAGATAATTTTCCCCACAGCAGGTGGGGCTGTGTTTTGGATTTGTGCTGAACACAGTGATGATAATAGAGATGTGTTTGTTGCTGCTGAGCAGAACTTACACGGAGCCAAGGCCTTTTCTGGGTGCGTGGGAGACTGGGAGGAGACACAGCTGGGACAGGTGACCCCAGGTGACCACAGGGATTTTCCAGACCATGCTCAATGTGAAGTACTGAGTAAAAACGGCATTTGGAATGATGGTGTTTGTCTTCCCTAGTCACCATTACACATGAGAGGCCCTGCTCCCCTGGAGATGGCCTGACCATAGGACATGGTGAATTAATTCCTTTTGTTTTGCTTGCATGTGTGGCTTTTGCTTTTCCTATCAAACTGTCTTTATCTTGGCCCAAGGGTTTTCCAGCTTTTTACCCTTCCCTTCCTCTCCCCATTCGCACTGGTGGAGACTGAGTGTGTGGCTGCCAGGGCTTGGCTGATGGCAGGTAATGGAGAAAGGAAATAGAGCTTCCCAATTCTCCCATCCTTGTAGGAGGTTGTGCTACATCTCTTCCCTGACAAAATCAAAACAAGGGAGTAAATGGGTCATCAGCCTGGAGAGGTTAGCCCTCAGCATATCTGCCACTTTCTCCCCATCCACCCAGATGTATTTAACATAACACAATTCAGATAATCACAGACTGGGTCAGGTTGAAGGGCCTGACACTGGGCCATCTGGTGCAAAATCCCTGCTCAAGCATCACCCCAGAGGACACAGCAGAGGCCTGCACCCAGGCAGTTGTTGAGTATTTTCAGTGAGGGAGACAGTCTTCTTTACTCTGTGTGTGTGACTGTGCTCTTCCACTGCACAATCACACACATAGTAAAGAAGATTTTTCTCATGTTCAGGTGGAATTCTCTGTGCATCAGCTTCTGCCTGCTAACATCCTGCTGCCTGGTACCACTGAACAGAGCCTGGTCCACGCTCTGACCCCTCCCTGCAGACACTGACAGATGGGGATGGGGTCCCCTCTCAGTTATCCCCTTTCAAGGCTGAACAGGATCAATTCTCTCAGCCTTTCCTCATAATGGAGATGCTCCAGTCCCCTGATCACCTTTGCAGGTCTCTGCTGGACCCACTCCAGGAGATCCATATCTCTGTTGTGCTCCAGAGCAGACTCCAGGTGAGACCTCACCAGAGCTGAGTGGCAGGGCAGGATCACCTCCCCTGAATTTCTGGCAGTGCTCTTCCAAAGGCATCCAGGATTCTGTTGGCCTTCCTGGGCACACGGGCACAGCTGCTCATGCACAGTTTGGTGTCCACCAGGAGCCCCAGCTCCTGCTCCACAGAGCTGCTTCCCACCAGGCTGGGCCCCAGGGCTGTTCCTCCCCAGGGGCAGGACCCTGCATTTTCCTGCGTTGGATTTCAGAGAGTTCTTCTCTGACCATCTCTCCAGCCTGTCGAGGCTCTTCTGAAGGGCTCACGGTCAAACCGTATCAGACAAAGACTCGGGATGGGACAGCACAGGGTGACACTAATGGGACAGCACTAGATGACACCATAAGAACACCATGGAAAGACACTAGGGGACAGACAGCAAGAGATGACCTCAGAGGATGGCATGTGATGACAGCGGGGGGACAGCAGCGCACGTGCCGGGACGGTGCGCCGCCCGGGCGGGCGGCCATGGCGGGGCGGCTGCGGAGGCTCGGCGGCGGTGAGGGAGCGGCGGGGGCGCTGAGGGGGCCGAGGGGGCGCTGAGGGGGCCGAGGGGGCGCTGAGGGAGCGCTGAGGGAACGGCGGGGGCGCTGAGAGGGCGGCGGGAGCGCTGAGGGAGCGGCGGGGGCAGTGAGGGAGCGGCGGGGGCAGTGAGGGGGCGGCGGGAGCGCTGAGCGAGCGGCGGGGGCAGTGAGGGAGCGGCGGGGGCAGTGAGGGAGCGGCGGGGGCAGTGAGGGGGCGGCGGGAGCGCTGAGCGAGCGGCGGGGGCAGTGAGGGAGCGGCGGGGGCAGTGAGGGAGAGGAGGGGGAGGTGAGGGGGCGGCGGGAGGGCTGAGGGAGCGCTGGGGGGGCGGCGGGGGCGCTGAGGGAGCGCTGAGGGAGCGGCGCGAGCGCGGTCCGGGGGCGGCCGAGGCTCCGTGCAGCTCGGGAGGGACGGCAGCACCGTGCAGCTGCAAATCCCTTGGGAAGAGTTCCAAGGGTAAATCTTCCCTAACTCATGGGGTTTTAGCTTCTCTTTTGAGACGGGACTCTTGTAGATTCTATATTCATTAGTGCTGTAAGTGGTTGTAAGTGAAGTGACATTGTGTCTAATTAATTTCAGGAAACTTTATTCTTCAGTCATTTACATTTCACATGTGTTTTAACCTTTGGCTTTTAAAAACAAGTGTGTAACTCTCAGTAGTTAGTGTTCTGGGTGCAGGAATAGAGTCTCTTGAGATAAGTCCTCGCAGAATCACAGGACGGGTCAGGTAGGAAGGGACCACAGTGGGTTATCTGCTCCAGCCTCCCTGCTCCAGCAGGGCCACCCCAGAGAACTCGGCACAGGATTGTGTCCAGAGGGCTCTAGAATATCTCCAGTGAGGGAGGCTCCCCAACATCTCTGGGCAATCAGGTGCCTCTTTCTGATACCTGCTGAATTGCATGGGCAGTTCAATGAAAGGCAGAACAGTGTGATGTTCCCAGGATTTTGGAGCAAGAATGGAAGATGGCAGCTGGAGTTATCAGGGCCCTAAGCACAGCTCGTGTCCCCTGAACAGCCTCCCCCAGGGCTGTACCCGTTGTCCAGGAGCCCTTGGTTTCATCTCTGCCTCGGCTGAGCCAGGAGCCTTGCCACCACCCAGCCCTGGCTCTGTCTCCTGGATGGACCTTGCCCTTCTGCTGTGGCCTTGTGCCCAGCCCTACCCTGGCCCCATCTGCTGCTGCTCCTGCCTGGGTGGACCCTGGACCTGGCTCAGCTTCATTTATGCGGGGCACTCTCGGTGAGCCCGGCTTTGCCTCTGCCCTGCTCCCTGGGACTGCCCATGCTGCAGTCACCTGGGCACCTGGCTGCAGAGCACTCACCCAGTTCTTCCAGATAAGAACTTGTATTAGAAATAGGTTTCATTTTCAAAATAAAAATTATTCTTCTGTCAAAATAGAAGCCCATGCAAAACTAAAAACTTGAGTTTTAATGGGTGAAACATAAACACCTTTCTTTTAAAATTACATATATTCTGCCTCTTGTTTATTTTTCCCCAAAAAAACTTCTCAGACTAAAAAAAACCCTCTGAAAATTTCTGTGACTATAGCTCGTGTGTTCATTGAACAAGCTTATTGAGCAAATATTTTAGGTGTGTTGTTTGCCAAGTGTTTCATAATTCTTTTACTATTTTATAGTTGCCTTTAGGCAGCAGAAATGGAAAAGTTCCCTCTCCACACAAGCAAAAATGCCTCCTTGTGATTTTGTACCTGAAAAATATGAAGTAAGTAATGTATACTACGCTGAATTTAAATAAAGCTTCATTACTGGGTTTGGGTGACAGATTCATCTACTAAATATGATTATAAAATTTTCTTCTTTGGGCATAGCCCAACTGCTACAGCTAGGATATAACCTGTAGATGTACCTATGTGACAAATCTCTAATTTGAAAACATTTTAAGAAAGAGGTTTGTGCAGAACCATGGCTTTATTTCAAGAAGCTGAGTTTCAGAGGTTTGTAGAACAGCCTTCTGTGTGCCAGAATCTATTACAAACCTAATCCTGTAGACAGCTGTGTAATCTGTGTACTCCACACCAACTACTTGATTCTGGATCTTTGGAAGGCTGGGATGGATACTGACTGTTTTATTCCACTCAGTCCTATCCCTATGAACGCATGCAGAAGATCCGTGAACAAAATATTGCACCTTCACTGAAAACATACTACAAGAGGCCATTGCTGCTGCACCAGGGGCATATGCAGTGGTTGTTTGATCATGAGGGACGAAGATACCTCGATCTCTTTGCTGGAATTGTCACTGTCAGTGTTGGACACTGTCACCCGTAAGTATGTTGCTTTTTGATTTATGGTACAAAACCCAGGAAGAGACACCTATGCTTGTTTTGTGCTTCATTAATCTGAAGCACTGTGAGCCTAAAATCAGAATATAACTTACTGAATTGCCATGTGTCACAATTCAGTTTCTGCTACATTTTGAAGGATTCATTAATTTGGTCTGCTTGCCCCTCCACCTGGCACACGGTGCAGCATCTGCGTTTGCAGAATCAATAGCACAGAGGTATGTGCAGGTATGAGTGAGGAATCTGTGTGGAATTCCATCCCTTTGTCTCTCCCTTGCTACATGCAGGAAGGTAACTATGGCTACCCAGAAGCAGCTGGCTCGCCTGTGGCATACCACCAACATCTACATGCACCCAGCAATCCATGAGTATGCGGAGAAGCTAACTTCTCTTTTTCCAGATCCACTGAAGGTAAATTGCTTCTGACAGGAGCAGGGGCTGGTGAAGTGGGTCTCTGTTTATGAGAAGTATTTATTAAGTAATCGAGAGCCATGATATCTCTCTTACTGTATGGGGAATACAGACTGTCAGTTAAAGAGCACAAGGGTCCTCAGGGCCTTTTCTTCAGACCCAGCTGTAGACAGGCATAATATCCCCAATTTCTGTTGTGTTTGTTTTCTCCCTTCACTTTTCACTGTGAAGAGGCATTGTGGGCTTAAAAATTACTTTGGAGGGACAAAGAAGATGTTTGCTATTTTGACATATAGCTGGCCTTAATTTTCTTGATCTCATGAAAATCCACAGTGGAAATTGTTTGACAGTATTTTGTGTAGTATGTGTAAATGTTTACCAACATTTAAACAGATAAATCACAAAAATGTCATGTTTCATATTTAGTGAAACAGTAAGAAAAATAACTTTTGTTCTCAGGTAAAATAAATTGATGATAAAATGAAATTGGGCTAGCAGAAGAGCATTAAGCTATTGCAATCTTAAAGATGGAAGGAGAGTAAAAAAAATTTAAACATCCCACTTAGTTTGACCCAACACTTTAATTTCTCTCTATCAGAAATCCATCTTAGGAAAATCTGTAAACAGAAACCTCTTGAGATTTTTCTGTACCCTCCCAGAGCACATCCATTGCATCTTTGTTCTCATCTGTTGCATAAAGGCAACACTAATTTTATCGTGGTGAGGTCACCCTGTGGCAGTGCTAGGCTAGAATTCATCGTGTTACTAAGGGACATGGTCTGATGCCAAAGAAGAAGGAGGTGTTTTTGTGCTGTACTGACCCCAAGTGTTCTCCCACAGGTGGTTTATCTCACCAACAGTGGGTCAGAAGCCAATGATTTAGCTATGTTCATGGCAAGGCTACACACTCGTAACTTCGACATCATCTGTCTCAGGTAATGCCGACACAGCTTCACAAAACCACTCTGTGTGTGGGATCACTCTCTGTGTGCCTAAACCAAGAAATAACTGAGAACTCTTTCACCCCATGTCTGCAGAGGATAATGCTATAAAATTACTGTATTTGACAAAGAGGAGTAAATCAGGAGCTGAAGTTTTCATACAGCATGTTAGGACTAGTTTGCAATAAAAATGCAACCTGCAATTTTTGCTTGTGTTACCTAGAAAATGATCTGATGTCTGTGTTCAGGGTGTGCTTTGGTAGACTTTTGTTCATGGCCAGACCAAGACTGAGCAATTGCTCCTTTCATCCTCCATTTCCCTTCTGCAGTGCCCCTGTGGGTGCAAAGGTACCTCCGGAACAGCAGTGCAGTGAACCTCAGCAGAGAACTGCTCTGCTTGGGAGCTGATTTTTGTTTGCTTTGCTTTGCTGCCTTGTTATTCTGTCAGAGCCCTGAACCACAGTTCACTGCACAGGTACACAAACAGCTCTTCTGGCTTAATGACAGGGATGGATGTGGGCTGAACTCCAGTACACTGTAAATAAACACCAGCATAAGCAGTTCCCTTTACTGTGCAGCCCAGGGAGCCTCAAATATTAGAATAAAAGGCTGTGTTAATGAAGAGCTGTATTTTTCTGTTACTGTGTTCAACAGAACATTGAGTACCTACCTTGCTTGTGTATCCTCACTAACCAATTTTGATTTGTATATAAAACTGACAGCCAACCACCATTTAGTTTAATGATTGGCAACACCTTTTGGAGACAGCAACTGTTTCCAAGATTCAAAAGACAGAGGTGTTTGCTCTGTAGGGATCGGGTGCTACAGTAGAATTTCATGAGGCACTGTCTGAATCACTGTTGGTTCCAATGATTGTACTCATCTCCTCTCAAAAATTTCTTCACAGTTTTTATATTTGTAATAGCAGTGTCAAAAGGCAAAAAAAGAGCAAAAAATGGCTGTAGGAATCTTCTTAGTTTCAGTGCAACAATGCACATTTTCCCCAACAATTTATATCTCAGAAGCATGCCTTCTCAGAACTGATATTACTGCAGACAGTTCTCAGAAATGAGTGATGTTGATCTGCTTTGTTTTTTTGCACAGAGGAGGATACCACGGTGGCAGCCCTTACGCACTGGGCTTGACATCTCTGACTTCTTATAAGCATGGCGTTGCCAATGGCTTTGGCTGTACAACTGTGAGAATTTTTTTTTTTTCATAATCTGGGTAACTAACAGTTTATTTGAGTATTTCAGCAATTGCTATTTTCTGCTCTCAAGCACTTTATGGCCACTAATCAAAACTGCAGTGTAGCAGTTTCTGCTGTGTAAATTCAACAAGAGCCAGAGTCCCCTTTTCTTCTATGGACAGTTTCTTAGGCTAATTTGTAGTTAGAACAGCCATAACACAAGTGGTTCATGATTTGCAGTTCTTTAGTCATGCTTGATGTTTTCATGGGAGTCTGTGTAAAGAGCAAAATAATGTTCTGAACCCCTTTTTTCAAGTTTGTTTTGTCATACCTGTGCAAAGCTGCTTTCAGATGGTCTGGAGCAGATCCTTCACTACAATGACTGGAAATCCTATCTCAGCAAGACAGGAGACACATCTGTTAAGGAGATCCACTGAGGTTAAATGGCAATGTGTTATGTCCCTGCCCTTGAACAGATTGGAATAACTTTCTGTCTAGGAGCTGCTATTGCAGACTCCAATAGCTACAGGTGACAGCCATGTTATTAACCATAGGAAGGCCCATTTACAGCAGCTCCTCAGCCTGTCTCAGTGAGTGCCCTAATTCATGTGGTATTTCATCAGCAGCAAGGATTAGAAAGCTGGAGTTTTCTCTATTAGATGTGCCTGCCTCACTCTACTTTGCAGATTTTGTTCATATTTCAGATTACCAAAATACTACCAGAAGCTCTTAAAATGCTGGCATTACCTTTAGGTAACCAATATCTTAAGAATGAAAAAAGGAATAAAAAATCAGTTGAGTGGCTATTGATGGAACACTCTAAATTTTTGATTCCAAAACTGTCTTGGTTATTTGGTGTTACTCCCCAAGTGTTCTTCACACAAGTTCCTTGAACTGTGTTTGCCCCTTGATTCTAACAGCTGTTTTTCTGTTTTGCCATTAGTCATCAGATCAAAAGATCTCTTGAAAAGGTGTCATCAAATCTGTAGCTATTTCTCTTATGCCTGACAGACAATGTTACCAGATGTTTTTCGTGGTCCATGGGGAGGCAGCCATTGTAGAGATTCTCCAGTGCAAACTGTTCGAAAATGCAGCTGTACTGAAGGTTGGTCCATGACAAAAATTTTTGGATTACAAAATACTAGTGAAAATGTGTTATAATTACCTCCTCAAGAAAAGTAGATGTCTGGTTAGGTTTTGCAAGGCTGACCCAAAAGAAATATTGCAGATTATCTCAGGATCCTGCATCCTAATGGGAAAAATGTGGGACAGATGACACCACATTCTCATATTTCTTCTTGAAATCCCAGTATTTGTTTCCAGTATTTGTCATGATCAACTCTGGAAGCTGTGGAACTCACTTCAGCACATCTGGAAGAACAGAAGTGTTGATGGTCTTTTTTGTGGTTTCTAAAGTTCTGACAGCTTTCCAGCTTTTATATTGGAATAAGACAAATAGTAAGGACAACCAGCAATAGGTGGAGGTCTTACATGGGGCAAGATGTTCCATATACAACACAGTGTGAAATTTCCTCTACTGCTGTGCAGCCAACAACAGTTCCAATCTGTTTTTCTACTGTTTCAACAAGCACTTTCTATTATTTTAGTTCATATGGACACATAATAGAATGGTTTGTTTTTAGCTTTGCTGTCCCTAGTGGATGGCAGCATTAGCCATACTAATTGCTCTGTTCTTTATCTAAGCACAGACTGTGTTCTCCAGAATCCTCCTACCTGCACTAACCATGGAGTACACATTTACAAGAAGAGACTCTCCTTTAATGTTTAGCTTTTTACTGTTCATTTGGGAGGTGGTATTTACCACGCAGTCATACAATACTTGTTGCTTAGATGCATCGTTTCATGTTTTGAAGCTAGTTTTGTGTCATATGAAGTAAATTCCCTTCAAACTGTTTCCCCTGTAAACAGGTGCATGTCTTGCAAAAGACCAGTACATTGAACAGTTCAAAGATACTCTGAATACCTCAGTGCCCAAGACAGTAGCTGGATTTATTGCTGAACCAATCCAAGTAGGTAGTTTCCCATTTCTCAGTTGTGATAGCACAAGTAGTGTGAAATAAATACTCAAATCTGATATTCTTTAGCTGCAACCTGAACATAGATGTTTGCTGATTCTTACTATGATTTTGTAATGATTTAAGCACCTTAAATGTTTGAAAGATTGGATGCACTGCCTTCAAATTTCAGCTTTTGTCACTGACTTCAATGGAACTAGAATTTTTCTTGTGAAATTAAACAAAGAATCATAATTAAACGTACAATTTTTTTTTCTGCATTTAAATAGTGAGTGTGATGCATGCTGTGGTTTGATTTCTATTATCTCCTTTCAATTTTCATTACTATTTCTGTAAACTTTTAACTCAACCTCCTTCTCCCTCTTCTAGTCATGTTGTCCACTACATTTTTAACAGCTGTCCAGTAACTGATGGCCACAGGATTCATTCTCCTAATGTTTGACCCTACATTCACAATTGCTTTAGACATGGTTCTTCAATAGAAAAATGAGAATTTGTCCCAGGCAAGAGAAACAATGTGAGAACTGTAACTGCAAGGGAAAACTGCAGCAGTTCTCTGGTTTTTACTGTTTTCTAAGTACTTACGTATTTGAGTCTTAAAAGCTGTTCAGGTCCAGGTAGAGGGAAAAAATTGAATTTCCAAGGCAAGTGCAAACTGTCAAGGTGAAAAGACATGGAGGAGGCAATGTTCTAAACAAGTTAACCAAAGAAGGAATATGAATTCTCTGGTTAACTTCCTCATCAAACAGTTCCTGGGTTTTGCTGTATGTAGGTTTTCATGGTCCTTGTTTCAGCAGTTTGTTGTTAATTGACTTGGTCTTACAGTGATCATGGTCTCACCAACATTCCTGCCAGCACAACCCGCGGAGCAGCAGGCAGCACTGTGGAATAGGAACGCGAGACCTGAGCAGGAGCTTTCTGAAGTGATTTCATCGCTGGAGCCAGAAGCTTGTAATAGCAGTCCTGCTGTTACCTGAGGACTGCTAGGTTCTTTTCTCAAGTAGAATTCCTGTTTCCTTGTCTGTTCCTGAAAACATTGTGTTTCTCTCTTGGCAGGGTGTTAATGGAGCTGTTCAGTACCCAAGAAATTTCTTAAAGGAAGCTTATCAGCTTATACGGGAAAGAGGGGGACTTTGCATTTCAGATGAAGTGAGTCAGATTTTTTTACGTAAGAATTCTAGAGTAGGGTACTTCTGAAAGTTGTCCTAAAAGAATCCAGGGGAAGCCTGGAAATAATCCAAGTGAAATGTGATACACTTCATAGCTTAAGTTTAACACAGTGTTAAACTGCATCTTTCCAAGCATAAGAGCCTCCCAGTTTTTACTGCCTTTTTTCTCATTTTGGGCAAAGGTAACATTTGTAGCAGACTTTAGTCCTTACCTGCTGGGAGAAGTAAATTTACACAAATATGCAACGAATAGCAACAAGTAGCAACAAATGCTACTTGTGATGGAACATTTGTCAAAGTAACCCGTCCTTTTATGAGTGTTGTTGACACACATAGAATACATAAAATACTTGATTGCTGTACCTCTGCAAAATATGTTTTAGGAGTAGAATTTTCTTAGCTAAAACAATACTACAATAGTATCAAATGTGTCAAATGTTTTTACATTTCTTCTCCACTTTGAAATGGACACTGCATCTTATTTGTGCATCTCATCAGGCCCAAGACATGATGACATCTTACAAAAATCCAATTACAATAAATAGCATTTTGTGTAGAACCATCTGAATAAGGGTCCTAATACAAGTTGACTCCAGATACAGTTGCTGTTTAATGCAAATCAATAACAATAGAAACACAAGAAAAGGAAATACATCATAAAGCATGAGAAAGTGATGAGTGTATCTCTGAATTTTTTCTTTGAAAGGTGCAGACAGGATTTGGACGCACAGGCAGCCATTTCTGGGGGTTTCAAACACATGGTGTGGTCCCTGACATCGTTACTTTGGCAAAAGGAATTGGCAATGGCTTCCCAATGGCAGCTGTTGTTACAACAAAAGGTATTTGTTCTGTTCCACTATGATCTAAAACAGAGTAATTGCAAAATATAATACAAAATAATTACTGGTGGAGACATGTGTGTTTAAAAAGCTGAACGTTACTTAAATCTTTTTCTCAATCTATCTTTTGAGAATTGAGTTGGGTCCTCATTGCCTCACCTGTTTTACCACATGTGCTGTATCAGTACAAAGCTGTATTTAAATGGGTTTAGTTGTATAACTGAAGCAGGAATGAACATGTGAGTGGTTTGTAGAGCTGGTAAAAGAGCCTAGAAACCCTCACCGAATTCACTGTTTTACTGATAAATATACTGTGAATAAATAACCCAGCTGCTTGATTCCTACAAATGGCAGGCTCAGTCTAGGGAGGAAAATCTGTAGATAGCAGGTGAGAGCATATGTTAGAAGCATGACTTTTAAAATAAGTTTTGTTTTGGTATCTGCTAGGCAGTATAGTTTTTGGAAATACTCATATTTTGCACAGACTGCTTCCAGGAAATCTTGCTGTGTTGTCTCCAGTAGAGTCACAGTTGAACCACAGCAAAGGAAATTGTTGTTACAGTAACAAAAGTTTAAAGCAATTCAGTACAGTTACCAAACAAGGCAGAGGCGGCCACCAAGATGATCAGAGGAAAGGCTGAGAGAATTGGGATTGCTCAGCCTGGAGAAAGCTTTGGGGTGACCTATTTTGGCCTTCCAGTGTAAGAAGAATGGAGAAGAACTTCTTAGAAGAGCATAGAGTAACAGGACAAGGAGGAATGGCTTTAAACTGAAAGAGATTAGGTTTAGATTAGATATGGGGAACAAGCTCTTTACTGTGAGAGGGATGAGGCAGTGGCACAGGTTGCCCAGAGAAGCTGTGGGTGCCCCATCCCTGGCACTGCTCACAGCCAGGCTGGTTGGGGCTTGGAGCAACCCAGTCCAGTGGAAGGTGTCCCTGCCCGTGGCAGAGGGGTTGGAACTGGATCATCTTTAAAGTTCCTTCCAACACAAACCATTCTGTGATTCTATGATTCTATGATACTATGAATGGAAGGAGTAACCAGTGTTGTACTTTTTCTTTCAGAAATTGCAAGTTCCTTGGCTCAAAACCTTCACTTTAATACGTTTGGAGGAAACCCTATGGCCTGTGTAGCTGGAGCTGCAGTTCTTGACGTAGGGAGAGCATTATATGAATTTATCTGTACCACAACATAAATTGTATCAAAAGATGAAAGTTGCACATATAAGTTTCTATGTGGGCAATTTTTAAAATAACTGAGTAAAGTGCATAAACATATGCACGTATATGTGCCCCAGTGTGTCACATACACAGGAAAAAATCCTGATTAATTTAATTGCAAAAATTTTCAGATCTCTAGAAGGAGTAGGAGGCCTGTAATTATGACTTCAGAATCATCTTTATCTCCCTTGGGCTCTCTACTTTGTCAATAAAATTGTAGGAGAGAACTTATTGAAAAGCCTTAGCTAATTTTTTCATAGCACTATACAAATCCACAGCTAAGAAAATCTATTTTCTGGCGTACATGTTTAACAAAATTTTAGGCTTTATGCTTTTACCTTATGCTTAAAAAACTTTTATGACCAGACAATTACAAATACCTAAGGTCAAAAATTCTTCTGGGAAAAAAAAAATTACCTCTTTATAAAGAAAACAGAAAAATGTGCAACATATTTCACTTATTATTCAGTAGAAAATCAGTCAGTGGGTAGTAGGTCACTATTACAAATCAATTTGTCTTGATTATGCACAGAAGATTCATTCCTGAAGTGCACTTCATTACAGCAGACACTGTTTCTATTCATGTTACTTTCCTGAGTGGTTTGGGGGGGGTTAAGCTATTAATAAGATGGATGATTGTATAAAGAACCCATGTTTTGGGGTTTTTCAACTCTGAAATAACTTGGAGCCTGGCTCTGAAATAATTCCAAGGAAATTGTTAGAGTCAGGAAGTATAAAATGGAGTTGAAAGAAAAAAAAAGTAGAAACAACCACTTTATCTTCTGTAATTATTTTTAAATGTAATTTTTCTGAATGCAGATGTTAGGTTCATTTAATGGTTTGTGTGTAGGTGCTGTATGTGCTTGCAAGTAAGAACTCTGATTAAGGAAGACAGCGTAAAGAATGAAGAAAAGATTGTTATTAAAAAAACATGTTGTTGCTAAATATAAAATAGTATTCAAGCTGTTCCCTGCCTAGTACATAAACATAGATAAACCTAGTCAAATTCTATTCTTCTCATGATACTGAAAAAAATTAAAACATTCTGGTAAGATTTTGAAAATAATCCTTCTGGTCAGGTATTTTCCAGTACAAGTACAAGAGAGCAGGAATTACTGGATTCAATGTAAACATTAAGAAAAATGTGAAAAGTGACACAGAAATATGAAAGTATTATGTGCAACTGTATTCTGATGCTGTGATCATCACAGCAGTGACGTGAAGAGTTCTTCTAAATGTGAGCAGTGAGGTAGTCAAGGAACATAGCAAGGAAGTGAGATAAATATAGTGACAAGTTCAATGGGGATTAACAGAATGTGTTGAAAACTTTTCCTGCAACACTGTCATGGTACTTCATTTTAACCAGGCTATTGAAGAAGATGATCTACAAAAAAATAGTGAGGATGTGGGAACATACATGCTGCTGGAGTTGGCTAAACTACGGGATAAATTTGAAATTGTTGGAGATGTCCGTGGCAAGGGACTTATGATTGGAGTAGAAATGGTGACAGATAAGGTTAGTGACTTCTTCATTCCTTTCAATTTACAGTGCCATTGAAGGTTTTATCACATTTTATTTCAGTTGAAATAATAGAAATAATTTCCTGTTAAAAAGCAGACAGTGCAGTGGGAAAACACTGCTCTGGCTAAAAACAAGCCAGAACATTCCATCATTCGGCTATTTCACAAGCTTTGAGTAAACAGTGAAATGCACCTTAACTGCACAGGCTTATGAGAGCAGGTAAGTTTTACAGCTAACATTTTCAGCTAGAGTTGGGATTTGTTGGAGAGACTGGAATATACATCTTTGTCACAGAACTAATTTAGAATATCTGAGTGAAGTATAGTATTTCCTTTCCTCAGGACAGCCGACGCCCTCTTCCAGCTGAAGAAATCAGTCAGATCTGGGAGGACTGTAAAGACATGGGGGTTCTGATTGGCAGAGGAGGGCTCTACAGTCAGGTACTGAACTTCTGGTTGTAAATAAAGCTTATTTTACTTCCTTGTGAACTACATCCCTGCTTCCCTCAAGTTAAGTTAATTTAGTTTAGTAAATAAATTAGAAAATGTATACTCTTAGGAGCCATCTCTGTTTAATACTGCTTATTTTAAAACTGGGCAAGAACTATATGATTATTTTCAAATATTCTGAACAAGCTCAATGCTTGGAGTTTTCCTTCAGAGGGACAACTTCCCCTAGAAAACCAAGGTATGCAAGGTATACAGTCAATGCAATTTAGAAGAACTCAGTAATACTCAGGAACAAGTCTTTGCACAGTTTAGGTTATCACCTGACACATCAGTACAAAACTAGTAGTTCTTTGAGTCAGGGGAGCTGGGTAATGTTCTAAGTCTATGGCAATTAAAGGAAAAACAAAATGGTGTTGACAGCAAGTTCAGCAACAGCATAGAAAAGAGAGTTGGATGTGAAGGCCATCAGCCTACAGCAGCTGACAGTGTACTCCATGCTGTAGCCAGGACACTGCACCAGCTCCCTGCAGCGCTCAGCTAATGGCAGAGAATTGCCTCAGGGCTGGCCCCTCTGACACAGAGGAGGCAGCTGCCATGTGAGATGGATAGAGGGTGGCTAAAATAAATCAGACACTGTGTCTGTTACCTCATCAATCCTTCCCTAAGTCACAGACCAAGAGGCAGGTAACGAGCTGAAGCTCAGTGCAGTAAAATCTCATTCTGTCTGATAAGAGGGCTGTTTACCTGTGATTGTTTGCTTCAGCAGCAGCTGTGGGCGGGAAAGCCCATTACTCTGCTCTTCCTGTATTAAGTCCCATGACGTGAGGCCAGAAAAATCTGAAATTTAAGCTTCTTATGGAAAATAAATACTCTTGGAAATAGATTAAAAATTCAGACTTAAGAGACTGCCTTCTTGACAAGTGTAGCTGTATATATAACGCTTCCTGATCAACATTTCCAGCTATAGCACCCTAACTACAATGTAGTATTTAGTGATTCATTCATAATGCATTCTCTTAAAAGCCTTTAAAAACAGACTATAATAAAAAAGCAAATCGGCTGACACAATGGGAGAGCCTGCCACTCTCAGCAGATACTACTTTTCCCTGTGGTAGAGCTGCAAGAAAGGAAAATACGTCTGTCTCTGTTCTTTCTTCATACAAATCCATCTGAGATTTTACTCTGTCTGTCGAAACAGAGCTGCAGACACGACCTACTCTACTTAAGTCTTTTGTGGAGGCAGTTAGGTTATCAAGAGGGGGTCATGAGTCAGATGCAATTCAGTGCAGTCAAGTTCAAAATTGCTCCACTTCAGAGTACATTTATCATAAGCCTCAGTGCCTGCACTGCTGTTCTCCTTTTTTCCTCACTTTTTTGGGGCGGGAGCGCTGACCCAGATAGGCTGCTTGAAACCATATTCTTTCCATACAATTTGAGCATCTCTTTTTTCTTTTTGTTCTCCTCAGACATTCAGAATTAAGCCTCCTATGTGCATTACTAAGAGGGACGTTGACTTTGCTGTGGAAGTATTTCGTACTGCTTTACAGAGACACGTGAACAAAGCAGCTGCAAAATAGAATTGGTTTGTTTCCTTACATGAGAGGCACACACAATCCCTGACACTTGCAACCCAGACTGGGCACTAATCTACTCTGGAAAATAAAATCACAGTGTGACTATTACATGCTTGTTCAGTATCATAAGTGTTCTGTCTGATACAGTGTTCAACAAGGACATGGTGTAATCTGTTTTGTAAAGCTACAGTTCAGTTCTACAGTGCTGATTTGTATGAACTGCACACCTATTTTGCCATTATCAAAAAAAAACCTGACTGGATTAACAGGGTATCAAATGGAGAGGCAGGCATTTGTTCTTCTTTCCCCTGTGAAAATCCTATCAAAATCAGTAATTTTTAGAAAGAGTGACAGAAAGAGTTGGGAAAGAAATTTCAGAGTTAAAACTGTTTACCCTGCCTACAAGGACACACTGTAATTAGAGCATTGCAAAAAGTTTGCAGACAGTTGAGATGTTTCTAATTACAGTAATTATTTTTATCATGGGGATAAGAAATCGAGTCATCACTCTCCAAAATACACTTCTCTTTTCCTCCTGCTGCTTTTGGGATTGCACAGCACACCCATTTTGTAAAGGTGCAAACTCTGGAAGGTGGAATAAATGTTCTTTCTTACATAATCACTTTTTAATGTGTAATGTCATTGCTTCCTTCAGTTTCCAATAAAAAAAACAGATGTTGTGGACAGTCAGCAAGAACTGTACATTTACCATTTTCCTTTTATTTCAATTTTAATATTGGAAAAATTTCTTGACCCAATAAAGCACCATGTCAGGTTGGGGGAAAGAGAGTATTCTGCCAGTACTTCAGAGGAACTTTGGTAACAGGGCATCAGTACCTCTCCAAATCTTACTCCATGGGTCCTAAACAATATTGTACAGCCTTTGCTGACCACTGTCTTCTCCAACTCCATTCATAACTCCTGTGTACAAACTAATTCCACTCCAAAATCAGTTATTTGTTATCCCACCTTTTTTTTTTTTCCTACTGAAGATCAGGCAGATTATGCCTTTAAACACAAGCGTAGTGCCTTTCCTTAGAAATCAGAACAAATTATTAATTCATGTCATTCATTTATTTCTCCCTCACTTATTCCAGCAAGGCCTTTTTTTCCGCTAGACCTTTTTTCCCCAACACCTACCACAGAGGTAACTGTACGAAACAAATAGCAATTGTCAAAACTGGTTTAAACAGCTTTGTCATCTAACTTCTTCCCTTCTGTCTGCTGCTTAATGCAATTAAGTAATTTGAAAATGGCAGAAGAAAAGCCTGTATCTTGGCAGTGCTTCATATTTGATAGAGGATCAAGAATCAAAGAATATTCTAAGTTGGAAGGGATCCACAAGGATCATCAAGCCCAGCTCCTAAGAGAATGGTCCATAGAGGACCAGACCCCTGACCTGGGTGTTCTTAGCACCATGTTCTCATCAACAGAGCACAGGCCCTGCTACTGGCTACTCACCCTGAGCTGAGCTCTCTCAAAAGAAAAGCAACAGCACACATGTCAAAATAATTTATTATTTCCTATGTGTGGAAATAAACCATGCAGGTTCTACAGGAACACAGGGTGAATAGCTGTGAATTACTATTTCCCCACCTGTGGTGTGAAAGCTGCTCAGGGTACAGGGCTTTAGACAAGGTGGCCTGGTGGAAGGAACATCCACCTCTGCCCTGACACCAAACCATTCTATGGTTAAAGGAAGGCTTTTAAGAACAGAAGAAAGCACAGAGTCTTCTACAAGACAGTATTCCTTTTGTGCATCTTCATTTTTTTCCTACATTGGTATTTGCCTTCTTTGTTTAACTCCAGACACAGGCAGTGTGCATGTTTCAGTTTTTTCAGTGTGTTAATGTACAATTCTGAAGACTGTCACTACAGCAAAGTTCTATCTATTTTTACGTTTCTCTTTTTTGTTTTTGGTGTTCACAGCTCCATTTACAGTTGGTGGTGTTGTTGCTCTTGCATGTCCTGTGACTTTCAGGTGCTCAAACAATTTATTTCGGGATGGAAATGTACAGTTGCAGGTTACACAGTGGATAGGAACTTCATTCTACAATGAGAAAAAAAAAAACGGAATGCTTCACATTCATATTGAATACATCATCAGTATAATACACCACTTTCTTGCAGACAGTTTCTCCTTGGCAATGAAGCAGGACTAAGCTGTTTTTTTCTATCATCGGGATTTCATTATTCATTAACAATTAAGCACATATTTTTTAACAAATAATTGCAAATATAACTTCATTATATTTCAAAGTGCTTTAAGTAAAACTAAGAATGGAAGCCTTGCAAATCTAAGTAAATCTTTACTATTCAAAGTAAAGGATAGTTTTGATCTCACCTGACCATACAGGTAGGTAATGCTTTGGGCTCTGAGATGCAGTGAATTTAGTATGTCTTAGCTGTAGTTCTACAAAGTTTTGCTCTCTGGCAAGCATCAATATTGAGATAGATGCAAACAGTACTGGCCTGTCACGTGCTGGGTGACAACAGCTCTGTCCCCAGCTGTTTAATCATTTGAACTGCCTTGCACACAGAGCTTCACCACCTCTCCTAGAAATGAAGGTGAGTCCTGTATTTCTTTGTGAGGACAAGAGCTGAAGTTTCAGTTCTATCAAAATCACAGGGACAGAATTGGTGGACTGGAGGTGACCATAAAATAGCCTTCTTTGTAATTATATGACCCCCCACCTTTTAGCCCTCCTGTAAAGACAGGCTGAGAAAGATGAAGAGAAGGCTCCAGGGAGAACTCATTGCAGCCTTCCTATGTCTTAAGGGGGCTTACATAAAGCAGAGAGAGTGACTTTTTATACAGGCAGAGTGACAGGACAATGGGCAATGGCCTTAAACTGACAGAGGGCAGGTCTACATTACACATTATGAAGAAATTCCTTACTGTAAGGGTGATAAGGCATTGGCATAGAGAAGTTGTGGATGCTTCATCCCTGGGAAGTGTCCAAGGCCAGGCTGGATGGGGCTTTGAGCAATGTGGTCTACTGGAACTAGATGATCTTTAAGGTCCCTTCCAACACCTAATGCTATTTTAAGTAGCATAAGTAATTTGACATACCATTGTTGAGCTCTCTGAAGACACCTTAGCAGACTTTTTTCCTTCCTTGGCTTTCTTCCCTTTAGGCTTAGTGCTGCCAACAAAGAGGAGCTAAAATCAGTGCACAGGAACATTTAGCATTTACAAGCTTTTTCAGTTTTCAGTTTTCAATAACTCTGCTGCTTTCCCTTGTTCTTGCTTCCTGCAACAAAATGTAAGTGCATCCAGAAAAAAAAAAATTAATCTATACAGTCAACTGTTAATCTCAGAATGTTGAATCAGCTCCTAGGAAGTGATATGGTAGCAATCTGCAGTCAAATACCACCTCCAGAGAAGCCCCTGCACGCTTTGTTTAATATCGTATTTATTCAAACCAGTTTTGGTGAGCGCCCCCAGAGCCCACATTTGAGAGTAAATCTCTCCTTGTTTGACAATATCAAACATGACACAGTGACTACAATGTTGCAACCAACACACCTTTTTGCTTCACTTTTTGTTTCATTCTCTTGGCTGACATCATCTGTAATACCTGTGTCCTCTGACACAGCACATCTTTGGCCATCATTTACCAACTCCTCTGTTGAGCCACAGTCCTTCTCCATGCTGGGCACCTCCTTTTGTTCAACTGCTTCTTCGTCAGCACTTTGATCAAAAGAGTCCTCGTAACTCTGTCCAAACGAAAAAAAAAATCCAAGTTAAATACTTCCAGTTCGTTAGTGACTATGTTTATAGTATTATACTCATTTACCTCAAACATGGGTGGGTTGGGAGGAGAGAAAGCCATGGACCCTCTTAATTTTACTGTGTGTTTTCAGTGAGACTGTAACATGTAAAACCTTAGTTCTCCTGTTTTGAAAGATGAGGCCACCTGTGGTGAAGGGAAGAAACACCAATAAAACAGCCTCTGAAACTACAGAAGCTACTACAGTAACTTTTAATTACACACAGGGTTCATCCTGTTCTGACTACCATTTCTTATTTCACAGGTAGTGGCTTATAACTTTGCGAAGGATTAATTATTTAGACTGAAGTTGTCTGTGCCAGACAACTGCATTAGGAACCTGGAGGCAAAATAACTGAGCTGACTGAAATTAGGTAGACACACTGTATTTTCCTTCCCTAGCAGATATCAGCAGCTTTTTCCATGTGCCAGATTAGACTCAAGACATGGTTTAGCAAAATATCAACTTCCTATCTGAAGCAGAACAGCAAAGCTCCCAAAAGCACAATGACAAATTTGACCTAACACCACATTAATGGAACTCTTACCACCTCTAGTGCAAAGACTCAGCTACCTGAAAAAAACTTGGCTAATCCTAACTTCAGGAAAAGGAAATAAAACCCACAGAGATTCCCAGTACTCCACAATGCTTGACAGAGGATGGAGGTGAGGATTTCCCAGCATAAGACTGCAGCTTGAGCAACGCAAGAGTGGCACCTACTGTCCAGGCCGCAGCAAACTGATGGAACAGAGCCACGGTGACTGTGTGCCACCTCTGCAGTGAGAACAGACCTTCTGGTCTCACACAGAGGAGGAAGGAGTTAACTGAAACCTCATGGCCTGCACAGAAACATGAAGGTCCCGCCAATACTCGGACTATGCAACTGAACCAGCCAATGTGAAGCCAGGAAGCTTCAGCTGCTTGAAAGTCTCAGAAAAGTTTCTTAAGAACAAGAGATAATGATGGGGTGCGAGAAGGCAGAAAAGGTGAACAGAGAATAGGAAATCAGAGGGTAAAGCATGGAAGAGGCAGGATCTGGTACAGACAGCTCACTGGAACAAGGCTAGGACCGAGGAGTAAGTACTTGAAAAGGATGAAGCTTGAGGAAGGCAGACACAGGAGCATGCTGACTATGACACCCCTGCCACTCAAGCCTGAAACAGCTTGCTCTTGGTGAATTTCACCTGCTGCTGTCATATCACACACAGACTCAGATCCTGGAGTAACAC